TGTAAACAGACCCATTTCACTTAATAAGTAATAAAAAACTTACTAGTAAAGCCATTTGCTTTGTAACTACATAAAATGCATTCAGTATTGATTTAACGTCGTCTTTCTATTCTACAGTTTTTTGATAATCACTGTATTAATATTTGACTTGCAAAATCGATTTGGTCTAACAAAATATGGAATGGAAAATCTTCAGTAAAGCAAGTTTTCTTGATAAGAGTTCGGGATTTTCGATAATCCGCCAAAAACAGGGAATTTCGCAAAATGTTTGTAATACAGACAGTTAATTTTAATCGTATTTGTCAGTTTTAAAGATCGTTAAATTTTCCACCAGCGCGCGTTGTTTTTCTTATTTTTTTTAAACTTCAACCTCAACATATTCAGATTAATATATATTTTTCCTGAGTGATTGACCATCTCCCATTGGATACTTCTGATACCTGAAACATAGTTTTTTTATTAAAAATCTTATGTTTTATTTTTAAATAGGATGAAATCTTTTAAATGGTATAGAAACACTCTGAACTGAGATCTACTTACATACATAGATAGATAGATAACTTCAGTATTTTTAAACTTAATAAAAATGTAAACAAACCCTCTCTCACCTATCTTGGTGTAAACAAGCAAGTCTGTTCTTACTTAAAGTCAAATGCCTTAAAGAAGTCTAAACTCAAATAATCTTAAATTTTTCAAAAAAGTAAAAACGTTTGTGAACAATTTTTCTCAGCCTGTTTCTAAACAAAGTTTCGCAAAAATTTTCGGTCGCATTTTGCAAACTTTTCTCGCGAAATTTCGAGAAATTAAATGAAGCAAAAACATAGCGAAATTTCGCGAAAATGCGAAAATTTTGTGAAAATCATGAGTTTTATAGCTGCAACAATTAATTGCTCAAAAAAACTTCTGGACTTCTCTGCTCTGATGGCTCAATATTTGAAATTATCATTGTTTTAATTGAACTAAAAAGCTTAATCATGTATAACAACAACAAGAAACAAGTGTAAAAAGTAAAATCTTAAAACGTATCTTGGAAGTATGAATTGTCTGATGTCTCCTAGTTTTCCTCAGTTTACCTTATTATTGTTGTACTTAGCACGACAAAATCAACTCTTCAATAGATACTGATCAATTATGAAGGATCAACACATTATATTTGGTTGATCCTAAATTGCTCTAGCCTTTAATTTCTACTTAAATTGAGACAGATCCATTATGAAGGATCAACACATGATGACGGGTTGATCCTAAACTTCTCTAGTCTTTAGTTCTTGAACATTATACTTGTACATTTATTCAGATATATTACCTAAATATACNATAATAATAATAATAATAATAATAATAATAATAATAATAATAATAATAATAATAATAATAATAATAATAATAATAATAATAATAATAATAATAATAATAATAATAATACCTGTGTACAGTTAGGACGGGGTATGATGTATTGAGAACCTGGATTATCCCGAGTTTGTTGAACTTTTCTGAACCAGGATATTTTTTAAAATTAGAAAAAAACTTTTGATTAAGTATAATAGAATTTTTTCCCATATTTTTACTCTCAATTTCATAATCTTGGGTGTAATCAATTTCTCATTCGTTCCTGGGCCAATAAGTAACATTTTATACTGGAAAATGGTTTCCTTTTATATTTTGCCGGTTTTTATAAGAAAATTGTACATCTATATGGAACTTGAATTGAATAATTGTGTTGACAATTTTTAATTAAACTTTCTCCATTTTTTAGTTTTCGGAAAAAAATGATCTTAAAAGATTAATGTTTTTTATTTACCATTTTGTAAAGAATTTAATCAAGAAAGAGAATAATGCATTTTTATTGAAAAGGCAAAGTCGATAAACCTTTCTTACATTAAAATACATTTCAAGTTTCAAAGAGACTGCAGATGTAATTTCAAGTTTTAAAGAGACTGTAAATGTAATTTCAAGTTTAAAGAGACTGTAAATGTAATTTCAAGTTTTAAAGAGACTGTAGATGTAATTTCAAGTTTAAAGAGACTGTAGATGTAATTTCAAGTTTTAAAGAGATCCTTCATTATAGAGAGGCATTTAAACAAAACCCCTGAAACCTTTGCCTAAGCAAAAATAACGAATATTTCCTTGTTTTTCTATCTCAAAATTGATTATTTTCATTGGTGGTCCTACAAGGAACTTGTGTATTAATGCAGCAGAGACAAATAATTGTCCGAATTAAAAACTTATCCAGAGAGAAAAACGACGGTATCTTTATCAATGTTACTCGGATAAAGGTTTAACTGGTACCGTTGTGAATGCAAGTCTCTAAAAGAAGGGTTACTTAACATTTTGGAAATTAGTCCCTTTAAGTTTTTTAATATTTAAAATAGTTTGAAGTATCCTAGTTTCCTGTAGGCGAGTAGTGTTCCGATGGGTGAACCAAAAATGAAAAAATCCGCAACCTCGAAATGTAATGAAACATCGTTTGTTGATTCACTGATTCTAGGACTATGGGAACTGGTAGAGAGCCTAGAAAAAAATATGCTAAAATTTAAAATGATTGTTCAGAAATTGAGAAACCACATTGTCTACTATTTTTCTTAAAGTTGAAAGTCAAATGTAGATTTCTAATTTTTTTAAATCAAAACTCTTCGAAAAAAAAAATATCCTTTTTGTCAAATTTAATATTGAGAAAGACAAAAATAAGAGAATAATAAATTTAATCCAAAAACGGTAAAACATTAACAAACAAGGTTAATTTTTTACACTCGATTAATTACTACCCAGAACTTCGGAAACATCGAAAGAATTTATAGAATGTCGTTTTCTTACCTACTAATAATGGAATGCCGCAAATATTTAGTTTTCTTTAATTTAATAATTATTTTTAAAACTGTTTCCACATATTTTATGACTATTTATTAATTTAAAAAAAAAATAGATAACCTCATGCCGGAACAAAACTATCAAGACGACATTTTATAAATTCTTTCGATATCTCTGAAGTTCCGTGGTAAACTGTACAAAAAAAAACCTGTTATGATTGTGGTACGTAGAAGAGGGAATATCGGAGTGTGCACGCATATAATCTGGAGGCGCTTGTAATCGCGGACTATTAAAGCATTTTAATCAAATTTAAGAGAGAGGAAGAAGAAAGAAAGAAAAAAATGGAAGAAGACAGGAAGAAGAATTGAAGAAAGGAGACTTTAGGAATATAAATAGTTTTAGTTCTAATCATTTTAATCAATGAATAGTGTCTTTGTTGTGTTTATAGTATAATTATAGCGATACTGGAATCTTATTAACTTGGTCTTTATACCAAGAATAGAGACTTGGAAACGAAAGAGGAATAAGAAAATTTAAGAAGATTGGAAGAAATGAGAACAAGAGAAAAGAAATAGTAGGAAAAATAAAAGACTAGAGGAAAAATAAAAGACTAGAGGAAAAATGAAAGACTAGAGGAAAAATAAAAGACTAGGAGAAAAATAAAAGAAATAAAAATTATATGAAAGTAGGATAGAAAGATAGGTTGGTAAGAGGAAAGGAAGATAAAATTATAGAAAATTATATGATAGTATGATAGAAAGATAGGATGGCAAGGATAATGATGACAGAAAATTCAGGGCTACCCACAAAAAAGGAAATGTAATGACGACCCAAAACTCTTAGAAAATGACGATTTAATGTTTGATTTTTGGCTTTCTTTCTGGTTTAAATTTAATATTTAAATGGTTGACGAAATGATTAAGAAAAAAACTAGTTTTAGCCTGCAGGGAACCATGAATGTAAAAAATGTGGATACCCCTGTATGATGTTAGGAAGATAATAGATAGCAGGCAGGCAAGGTGGAAAATGAGACAGCGAGGTCACAGAGGCTGAAACTAATGATTAAAATTCCAATATTCCTTGGAGGACTTGACACGGACTCCCGTTCTTCATATAAACTAGTCTCGCTGCCCGGCCGACGGATGTTGCGGCAAAGCGAATCATACGCCAAGATGGCGCCCATGGAGTCTCCAATCATACAAACCGGTCCTGTGAACCCGGCTCCTTCCTCAGAACCAAGAAAATCCTGATAAACCCTGTTGGCAGAGACAATTGTCTGATTTACGAAATCCTAAAATAAATAAGAATATTTATTAAAAAAACATTCAAAAAAGCTGAAAAACATTTGTCACATGTTAAGTTTTTAATAAATAAAACCGCAAAGTAATTGACGAACTTAAAACTTATTTTGTTCGCCCAGTGTTCATCCGCACTTTTATATTTTAAATATATATAATTTTTTTTTGTGACAACTCACGTGACCCCAGAAAAGGTTTATTGACTGCAAAATTTGAAAAATTTTGACTTAAAAAAAATATTTATAAACATGCAACTAAACAATTCAACATAAAAATCTACGAAAAGTTGTGTTTTACAAAAAGAAAAACAACATTTAAAAGCCTAGTTCGTTAATATTGGGCAAAATATAAAATTTAACGTTTTTATTTAAATCACTCTGTTTAGTGTATATATTCTATTTCCCCGGTCCTCCCTCTTGGATAATATATAGCACAGTATGTGGTCTTAGATACAGAGCTGGTGGGATTTATTTTATCGTAAACATTATATTTCAAGAATAAACAAACTTTGTTGTTTTTTTTTCTGCCTTTTACGCATGAATTAGTTCAGAAGCAAGTTAATAAAAGGCAAAGCTAAGAACTATTGAATGAGATTTGTGTAGGTTGACCGTTGAATTAGTTTAACTCTATCTAACGGGAACTTTAAGAATTTAGAAGCATCACTCAAACAAGAGATAAAAAATCATTTAAAAGTTGGAGTTAAACTCTTTCTAAGGAGAAAATAAGATTAACACATTTAAATTATTTTTCCTGTTCATTCGAAAGTTTGATCAAGAAAAATTGTCAGAAAAATGGCGCAAAATAAACAAAAGGCGCGAAAAAAAAATATATAACCTGTCGTATGAAATGAAATAACAACTAAAATACAAAATGGCGCTCATTTATAAAGCATATGGCGCCTAAAAATGAGAATATACCTGGTATCTGGGTGAAGCTGTGGCAAATAGGGTAATTGCTCCAATAGGAACTCTATCATTTTCATAACCAGAACTTGCATTGAAACTGTATGGACTACAAATTACGCACCTTTTTATAAAAAAAATACTAACTTCAATTTGAATTGGTAATTGGTATTTGGGTTTGTCTGTAAAACAAAGTTTCCAATAAAAGCTTAATATTGATTGATCATTTTTGAATGTCAAAATTGCGGATTCCTAAGATGATTTAGAATCGCCAGTGCCTCGGAACAGATGTTTGGACACGGAACACATTTAATAACAATATGGCCGACCATTCCGGGGTAATGTTGTCTCATGATAGATTCAAACGCTCCTCGGAGAGTTGTAACATCTGAAATAACCTACCTCCCTATAAAACTGACCTGATTTACGTACTGCAACATCAGTGGACGCATCTAGTACACTGCCACCGTGTACAACTAAATTACATTAATACTCATAAGTAGTAATCTCTTTTATATTTGCTTAATGTTAATATATCTGAACCTCTCGAACGATTTGCCTCAAATTGGAATTTAGAAACTCGGCAGAACTACAGAATTTTTGTAGTTGAGTGATTTGCCTTTTTTAGGGAGGGTTCTTTGGGATTATGATTCTTTGGGATTATGGTTCTTTGGGATTATGATTCTTTGGGAGGATGGTTGTTGGAAATTATGGTTCTTTAGAATTATGGTTCTTGAATTTATTACTCTTAGGATTCATGGTTCTTTGGGATTATGATTCTTTGGGATTTATTGTTCTTAGAATTTATGATTCATTGGAATGTTGGTTCTTGGAAATTATGATTTTTGGGATTATGACTCATTGGGATTATGGTTCTTAGGAATTATGGTTCTTTGGGATTATGGTTTTCAGGATTATGTTTCTTTGGATTCTTGGGGATTAGGATTCTTTGGGATTATGGTTCTTAGGGATAATGTTTCTTGGGATAGATTTCTATTGGAATCTATGGTTCGTTGGGATTACGGTACTTGAGGATTATGGTTATTTGGGATTATGGTACTTGTGGATTATAATTCTTTGGGATGATTGTTCTTGTGAAGTATGGTTCTTTGGGAATATAGTTCTTAGGGATAATGGTTCTTGGAAATTATGGTTCTTTCGAATTATGGTTCTTGGGATAATGATTTTTCGGGATAGTAATTCTTTGAGATAATGCTTCTTGGGGATTATGGTACTTGGGGTTTATGGTTCTTGATTATTATAGGTCTTACGGATTATTATTGCTTTGGGATAATGGTTCTTAAGGATTATGATTCTTTAGGATTATGGTTCTTTGGGATTATAGTTATTTGGAATTATGGATCTAGAAGTTTTCGGAATTAAAACTTTAGTTTTTTTATTGATAATAAAAAAATTACCTAAAATGAGTATAGTTGTATTGCAGCTTGGTTCAACAGAGGCGTCGCGAATTCGTTCCAACAATCCAAGTTCTGGAGAATCATCATTTCAGATTTCATTTTCATTTTGTTTAAAGTTAAGATTTCATTTTCATTTTGTTAAAAGTTAGGATTTCATTTTCTTTTCTTTAAAAGTTCAGATTTCATTTTCATTTTGTTGAAAGTTAGGATTTCATTTTTTTTTTAAAGTTCAGATTTCATTTTCATTTTGTTGAAACTTCAGATTTAATTTTCATTTTGTTGAAAGTTCAGATTTATTTTGAATTCATCTTGATAATACTATTCCTATTTCATCTAATCTTGGATATATAAGGATTAACAGAGTTTGAAAAGGAATTTCAGAGAAACCAAAACATTACTTAAACAAAAATTAATCAACTTATTTAAGTTAAATTAAGTGCGTATTGAATAGGTCAGCTGTTTCAACATGGCGGTTTACAGGCTGAGAAGTCAGCTGTTTCAAAATGGCGGTTTACAGACTGAGAAGTCAGCTGTTTCAAAATGGCGGTTTACAGATTGAGAAGTCAGCTGTTTCAAAATGGCGGTTTACAGATTGAGAAGTCAGCTGATTAAAATAAAAGGCATCTGAGAAATTAGCGAATTGAAACGATGAGAAATTAACAATTTTAAAAGATTAGTTGTTTTAAAATGGCGGCATTGTGAGAAATCAGCTGATTCAATGCGGCGGACTTAGAGAAAAGTGATGATTCCCTATAGTTGGATGACGCCGACTTGGCCTGGGTTGCTCAGTGTTGTAGGACACTGCTCTTCTAAATATAATAATGTTCTTCTTCTCTTCTTATCATTTTTATTAAACAACGAAAAAATCAAACAATATCATATATATGTATAGAGCTACTTTTCGTAGCACTCTCCAATATGTGGAATAATCGTGATGGATTTAATTTTCAGCAAACAAACAAACAAAGTTCCTCATAATTTATCGGAAATTCATGAACTTATTCCGATAAGAATTTAGCATATAATTACGACTTTTCATCTTGAAACAAAACAAAAATTAAAAATTAAAATGAAGAAAACGAATTAATGTATTGACTTTTCATCTAAAAGGAAAATAAAGGCAAAAAAAAACCAAATATAATAATGTATATATAGGGCCAAATATCTAGACCAGAAAGGGGGAACTAATGATATTTTCAGTGGGGGGGGAGGGGGGGATAATTGAACTCCCCAACCCCCGGGAAATTTTTAAAGGGAATTTGGTCAATTTTATGTCAAAACCAGCAGGCGAAACTTGTACATACCTAACTTGTTAACATATCTACCAAAATATATGTATATCTAGTTAAATATATGTACGTATCTACCTGAGTTCAGAGTGTACATAAGCAGGTTGTAGTGGAATGCTTTCACAAGTTTCACCATCTATACATAATTAATTTATAATTAACACAGAACTAATTAATTTTTAATTAACATTTCTAATTAATTTATTAATTAATGTATTCAAGGAATCAAAAACAGAATTTCTGAACTAATTAATATAAGATTGACTATAGACCTCACTTCAAGTGACCTTCCATTGATAGAGTGGCATGTGTGATTTACAACGGTACCCTTACGGAGACACCTGTATTGAATGAGAAATAACCTTAAATTGTTTGTTTTCAATTCCAATTGCTCTATAAAAGTGAGTTTTGAATTTAAACTGAAGAGACAATGCTTGAAATAGCCAGAATTCAAAATATCTTCAGCATTTTTAATGTTTAAAGGACACTGTGTAAATCGGACTCTTGTAAATGGTCAGTACCTTCAAATTAAAAATCCTCATATGATGTCACTCTCGCCTCTATAACCACTAATCAGTGACGTCATATGCGCAAATAGATTTTAGTGCAACAAAGAATTTGTACACTCTCAGTACAGCTGTATTCTTACGTCACAAGTGTCAACGTATAGTTTTTCTGTTCGACAAAAAAATTAATAATAGTTATAATTTTAGAATAAAGTGCTTATCTTATAGTAAAATAAGTGCAATTTTGTGTTCTTTTTTTCTGTTTTTACACTTTTTACTTAATCTTGGAAAACATGTCAACCAAATTCAAAAAAATTTCGTATTCCTTGTTATATTTGACGTCGTGTATAGTTGGTTCATTTCTCTGTTGCCACTTATTGTACTTATTAATCTATTTACGGATTATATCTATCTTTGCTTATAAGACGACTTTTTCCGTACGTAGGAGCGGTTCAAGAGAAAGTAACCTTACTTTACAACCTTGTCCATGATACAAAGATTGTCTTAGTAGAAGTAGAATATACAGCAACACGAATATATCCGAACTAGGCATTTAGGGCGCTTCATGCCCCTTTTCTATTTACAATTTCAGTTTTTAACTGATGCTCTGAAGACTGAAAGTGACATTTTTAATCATTCTTAAATATTGACGGTTTTACAAAATAATATTTTTTAACACGTTTTTTTGTGGCCAAATTGTTCAACTTTGATGGTCCATAAACCTTCTAGCTGTTTTGACGTTTATTGGAAACAAACAGACAGACAAATAAAGTATGTATAGCCAAAACATTTTTCTTACGTTACTCCATCGCGTATAATTTTCTGGATAACGTTTTGAAGAATAAAAAAATTTAAATTTTACCTCTATTCAAAAAATTCTTGAAAAAGGTTTAAAAAAAGTGGTTCTGGACTGACAAAATGTGGAAGGTACAAGAAGTTAAAAATACATATAGTAGGAGTAGGAGGGGGCTGAAGAGTTAATGGAATGGATGATTTGATTGTTGAATAAAGAGGAGAAAAAGAAAAATGTATTAGATAGAGGATTCTTTATACAGGGGTCAACAGAATAAATAGGAATTGGAAGACGACATTAATTTTGATCTGATTTTTTACGGTTATTAGCTCATGTACAGTGTATACATAATTCAGTGTAATAGTTTGTAAAACATTCTAACTTTCTGAGCATCATTCCATGTTAACACCATTATTGGTTTTTAAAGTGATCGTTATATATTCCATATTATTTTGGAGACCACTGTATAAATGGTAGATCACCTACCTCTCATAATAGATTCAATTGGATTTGATTGGTTAGCATCCAGAGAGTATCTATAAATATCAGATTTATTCATCTGTCTGTCTGTCTGTCTGCCTGTCTGTCTGTCTATCTGGGTGTCTGTCTGTCTGTCTGGGTGTTTGTCTGTCTGTCTGTCTGTCTGTCTGTCTGNTTTATTCAATCATTCATCTGTTTATTTATTCACTCATACATTTAATCATTTATTTATCATTTTTACACATTTCTAAGTCTTTTAAATAGTTAATTTTTTCATTTATTGAATAAAAAAAGCAGCAGAAGATTTTTTTAAAATGTTTAAGAAGTTTTCTATTAAATAATTGTATATTATTTACAGGTTAAAAAAGATGTGGAGGGTTTGTAAGTTTGTAAGAAAAGCCTAGATTAATACAGCTTAGATGCTTAGATTTATAAAATACTGTCCCAAGATTAATATCAACAATATTTTTTAGAAATTGAAGAAATTTATTCATTTACTCACTGCTTTTTAATTTCATATAAAGGAATTGAGTCTCCACCAAAAACTCAGATTTTTTAATTTCAATATTTTTGCAACCCAATGTCGTAGACCTTGGATATTTCACACTATGAACTCTTTTATATCAAATAATCTTATAGTGTAAAATATTAAAGGTTTCCCCATCAGGCTGCAAAGATAAAGAGAATAGAAAATATTAGTTTGTGGCGAAGACTCAATTCCTTTGTTAAATCTTCCTAATCTTTGATTTTAACTTTAAATTTTTTAAAAACTTTCAGATTCAGATTCAGAGTTTTAATTCTAAAAGATAAAAATAGGGTTTAGTTCAAACCTACGGGTTTTATAACTCTAATTTCTATTTATACATTTATTTTACCTTTTTTTTATAAAAAGTATTTCTCTATTTTCTTTTTTTAAACTGTTTAATTTTTCACCGATTTTTTAACAACTATTATATTTGATTTATTTTCTGTTATTAATGTTGTAATTAAAAAGGTCGAAAACTTCAGTGTGGAGTTTTGTTAATCTTAAAAGTTTGACCACGATATCAAATGTGGGCACTTTAAATGCGTGATCCCTCAATAAAGTTATCCCTGCATCATTGTTAAATCTGGTTCGTTTGAAGAACTGGGCTGACATCTAATCAGCTAGACCGAGCTGTACAGTACGCATACAGATTTGTTAAACAAAACACCTGTACCTCACTGTATCCAAACATAATGTCGTCTTCCTACTCTTCTCCTTTGTATCGGGCCAGGTATAAAACAAAGAGGGATCAGTAACGTTTCGTATAGTACATTTTCGTATAGTAACATTTTGTCTAGGACATTTTCGTATAGTAACATTTGGTATATGTAACATTTTGTATAGGTAACATTTCGTATACGTAACATTTTGTATAGATAACATTTGGTAGAGGTAACATTTCGTATAGGTAACATCCATAGTAATTTGTCGTATAAATGTAAAAATTAAAGAACGTCGAGATATTTTTGTAAGAAAACCATGAATATTTCACTAAGAAAACTGCGAACCATTTAAAGAAAATCCGCAAAATTACAAAAAACCTCAACCATGTCTCTGATAAGACTTACTAAGTCTACTCGTGGAAAGGATGCAATAATCGATAACAGCTATCATTAATATACCTTTAATAGTACTGGAGTAATAGATGCCTTTATCAAGACAGAGTCAGAGTCTAGAAGAATCCTGTTGTCGAATGCATGGACAGGATCTGCATCAAAATACAGGAAGGAAGGAGAGAACTATGGCCAATCATCAACGTCTTAAGTTACATGCTGAACAGTTTGGCGTTCTGCCTGACAAAGAATATCTGCAGCAGGTGGCTTATGAACTTCAAAAATCGGATAATTTATTAAACTGTAAAAAAAATGAAGATGTAACATTAAATATAAATACCAAAATAGCTGATATTCGGTGTTTCATTTTTCATCTTTATTTTTACATTTATACGAAAAATTACCCTAAGTGTTACCTATACGAAATGTTACCTATACCAAATGTTATCTATACCAAATGTTATCTTGACGAAATTTAACCTATACGAAATTTTACCTATACAAAGTGTACTATACGAAATGTTACCTAGACAAAATGTTACTATACGAAAATGTACTATACAAAATGTTACTGATCCACAAAGAGTGTACACCAGCCTAACTCTGTTACACACAGTGTTAACTATATTGACCATTTTGAACACTAAACGTTTGACTTGTGAAATACTTAAAAGATACAATCCGTGAATAATTCTGCAATCTGTAGAGATTTCCACTAAAACAACCAGGGGTTTTATTTCAGAAGTAACAACTAAATATTTTAAATTGAACCGATCATCTTCCTCTGAGATAACAAACCACTCCTTGATCACCCCAGACACACCCTACTAGCAAGTTACTAATTCCTATTAAGAACATAAGACAATGTTTTCCTTATTATTAAAAAAAACTGTATTTTGTAGGTTTGAAATATATACATATTTCCAACTAGGTGTTTGTGTTTACAAGGAGTTCATAGAACAACATCAAGCCGACCGTGATTTGTGTCAACAAGATTATACTAGGCAAACAGGACAGTACACTAAATGAACCAGCCCCCTCTAGGGAAATTCTTGTGGCATGGTATGATCGATCATCAGAGGATATTTAAAGAGACTGTAAAGGAAAGATTAAAGGGGGTATAGGCGGAAATTTAAGAATTTTAGGAGTTAATCGACCCCCATACGAGTTTTATCTGATGTTTATGTCTAATAAATTGATATTAAACTGCGTCAAATTTAGACGATAATTTTAATTTTAATAAATTGATATTAAACTGCGTCAAATTTAGACGATATTTTTAAATATAAAATTTTGTATAAAAATCGTTGGTTTAAATAGATCATATTCAGCAAATACGCAACTAATCTGAAAACAACGAGATCCCAGAGGAGCCTAAAACACTTAGGTTTGCTCTTATTACTATTTGAGTTCAATAATTTTTCATTTTTATTAGATATAATTGATAATATTATTTACCCCAGACACACCCTACTAGCAAGTTAATAATTCCTATTAATAACATAAGACAATGTTTTCCTTATTATTAATAAAACTGTATTTTGTAGGTTTGAAATATATACATATTTTCAACTAAGTGTTTGTGGTTACAAGGAGTTCATAGAACAACATCAACAAGATTATACTAGGCAAACAGGACAGTACACTAAATGAACCAGCCCCCTCTAGGGAAATTCTTGTGATATGGTATGATTCATCATAATTAAAGGGGCTGTAAAGGAAAGATTAAAGGGGGTATAGGCTGAAACCTAAGCATTTTAGGAGTTAATCGACCCCCATAAGAGTTTTATCTGATGTTCTTGTCTCGATAAATTGATATTAAACTGCGTCAAATTTAGACGATATTTTTATACATAAAATTTTGTATAAAAATCGTTGGTTTAAACAGATCATATTCAACAAATACGCAACTAATCTGAAAACAACGATATCCCAGAGGAGCCTAAAACACTTAGGTTTGCTCTTATTACTATTTGAGTTCAATAATTTTTCATTTTTATTAGATATAATTGATAATATTATTTATACGTCCGTATCACGTGACCAGACCTCTCACCAATGACAGTGAAGTATCATTGTCACGTGTCGCCGTCTGTATGATCTGTTTAAACCTACGATTTTTATAAAAAAAATTTATAAATATAAATTTTCGTATAAATTTGACACAGTTTTATATCAATTTCTCGAGATAGGAACATCAGATAGAACTCTTATGGGTCTCGATCAACTCCTAAAATACTTAGGTTTCGGCCTATACCCCCTTTCATTTTTCCTTTACAGTCACTTTAAGATGGATTAAATTATCTGTAAGCCTGCTTAAGATGGAGATCAATGTTTGATTCCGAGATCTGACTTAAGTTCAATTATGTAACTAGTAGAAAAACAACTGCAGTAACTTTTATTTATGTTAATGTTAAGAAACTTTTTTACCGAACAAACAATAACATTGTGTACCTATACTTTTGTAAATCATGTTGTTTATGTTATTATGATTATAATTCATTTTATTGATATTATTGTATATATTAGTCCCAAAAGCCTCCCCCCTGTATACTAACCTGGGATCTTCGTCTGAAAAAACATTAGGACTCTCCAGCTCATTTTCTAGATAAGAATATATTTGTGAATAAACAAATAGGGTCCAGCCATTAATGCATATTCTTTTGAAGGGCCATACATACAAGTTAAATAAGAGAATAATATATTCACATTTTATCAAAGAGCCATCCAGGCCTATCATAAACACGAAAGTTTGTTTTAGCTTTTCTAAGCGATATTTATAAATTTCTTTTGTAAGACATCCAAGCATTTTTTTCTAAAGGGTTCTCAATATATATTCCTGATAAATATTTAAAAAAGATGATAGACAATCATATTCTTAATGCTGGCCATAAATAAAATACTGTAAATTAATAATTAATAATATCTAAAAGGGCAATCAATAAATATCCGGTATAAAAGGGCCATAATTAAAAATCACTTTAAAGAGCAATCAAGAAATATATTTTTTAAAAAGCATTCAATAAATATGCTGTAAAAGGGCCATAATTGAAAATCACTTTAAAGAGCAATCAAGAAATATATTTTTAAAAAAGCAATCAATACATATGCTGTAAAAGGACCATAATTGAAAATTACTTTAAAGAGCAATCAAGAAATATATTTAAAAAAGAGCAATCAATAAATATGCTGTAAAAGGGCCATAATTGAAAATTACTTTAAAGAGCAATCAAGAAATATATTGTATATCAATCATTGTATATTCAGTAAAAGGGTCTAAAAGTCATTGAATTTTTAAAAAAATATCTCCATCTTTAATTTACAGAAAAATAATTGAAGGACACCGGTGTCAATCACACAAGCCACTCTTCAATTAAAAGGTCAGTTTAAATACCGCTTACAGTCCCTTTAATCTATATTACCTGTAGGTATAGTGGGTTTTTCAATACTGGTAAAGCTGGCGCTCACAGAACCCTGTTGGGTAAATTGAACATGAAATATGAATTAAAGGATCTCTAATGAAAACGGGGAGTATGTCTCTGATGAAAATCGGGAGTGGGTCTCCGATGGTACTCTAACAATAATGATTAACTTCTAGACTTCTAGACATTTAAACTAACTTATAATTTAAAAGACGAAAATGTCGGATAAATTATTCTGGACTTTTGATGCTCGACATCAGCATAGCGTAGCCAAAAGTTTGCAGAAATGTTTTCCTTTGTTGTCTTGATGTGAAAAGATAAAAGCCTGCTCGCTTCACTAACAACTCCAGAAGATTTGAAGTACCGCTCTGATCTCTGGGCAAAAATTTATTTACTAATTACTGTGCAGAACAGAAAGAACCAGCAATCCTGGATCAAGAAGACGACTTTTAAACTCAAGAAATGTCTTAAACAGCCATACGAGACACAGCAATTGTGCCCATTTAAATAAATAGTGATTTACTAAGTCAGTAAAACTATTAACTTTATAACAACATCAAATACATTTAAGTATTGCTGTAATGTCGTCTTCATATTCCTCAGGTTTCTAGTTCTCATTGTATATCTACAGAAGAGCAGGCAAAAATGTGGTTACGCCTAATACATTGCCTTTCTAGTGAGAATAATTCAACAATATGATATTGTATATTATATATCCTGAGTTTGACTAACATTAATGCTGCTAGGATAATATAGGATTAACCAAGGGGTATCAATCTGCTTAATTGCATGGTAAGCAATTATATAAATGTTTATATGTATAGTAAGCAATTATATAGTTGCATAGTAAGCAATTATATAATTGAATATATATTAAGCAATAACCTGATATACGGTAACAATAATATCACAATTACTGTATATCAATAACATGATATACAGTAACAATAATATCACAATTACTGTATAGCAATAACATGATATACAGTAACACTAATATCACAATTACTGTATATCAATAACATTATATACAGTAACAATAATATCACAATTACTGTTTATCAATAACATGATATACGGTAACAATAATATCACAATTACTGTATATAAACAACCTGATATACAGTAACATTAATATCACAATTACTGTATATCAATAACATGATATACGGTAACATTAATATCACAATTACTGTATATCAATAACATGATATACGGTAACAATAATATCACAATTACTGTATAGCAATAACATGATATACAGTAACAATAATTTCACAATTACTGTATATCAATAACATGATATACAGTAACAATAATATCACAATTACTGTATATCAATAACATGATATACAGTAACAATAACATCACAAACTAATATAAACGGCACCCTTTCGGTGCTTGCTGTGTGATTTGCCAAAAAATAGTAGATTTTAGATGAGATTGACGTGCTTACAATCTTGTTTTAACAGAAGTAACGTGCTCACATTCTTGTTTTAGCAGAGGTCATGTGGTCACAATCCTGCTTTAACAGAAGTAACGTGCTCAGAATCTTGTGTATAACATAAGTATCGTGCTCACAATCTTGTTTATAACAGAAGAAACTTGCTCACAATCTTGGTTATAACAGAAGTAACATGGTCACAATCTTCTTTATAACAGAAGTATCGTGCTCCTAATCTTGTTTATAACAGAAGTAACGTGCTCGCAATCTTGGTTATAACAGAAGTAACGTCATCATAATCTTCTTTATTACAGAAGTATCGTGCTCACAATCTTGTTTATAAAAGAAGTAACGTGCTCAAAATTTTGTCTATGCCAGAAGTAACGTGCTCACAATCTTGTTTATAACAGAAGTAACGTGCTCACAACCTTGTTTTAACAGAAGTAACGTGCTCACAAGCTTGTTTTAACAGAAGTAACGTGCTCACAATCTTGTTTTAACAGAAGTAACGTGCTCACAATCTTATTTTAACAGAAGTAATGTTCTCACAATCTTGTTTTAATAGAGGTCACATGGTCACAATCCTGTTTTAACAGAAGTAACGTGCTCAAAATCCTGTTTTAACAGAAGTAACGTGCTCACAATCTTGTTGTATCAGAAGTAACGTGCTCCGTATCTTGCTTAACAAACGTTTCGTGGTCACTATCTTCCTTAACAAAGATTACGTGCTTACAATCTTGATTTACCAGAAGTACTATTCTTAAAATCTTGTTTAAAAGAAGTAAAGTGCTCACAATCTTGCTTGAAACGAAGTAACGTGCTGACAATCTTGTTTTAAAAGAGGTAACGTGCTCACAATCTTGTTTTAACAGAATTAACGTGCATACATCTTCCTTAACTCGTAACATGCTGTTTGCGAGAACAAAGATAAATAATAATATTTACAAATAAATAATAATATTTATAGATAAGTATGATGATTTAGGTAAAAAATATTGGGATAGGGAAAATGTTTTTCAAAGTATGTATTCCTAGCCCTGTAGAGTGTGAGCATAACATATTTTTGTATACAAACAAAGAATCCCTGATTGCTGAAGATGGATGTGAGAATATTATGTAGAATACTAAATGCAAAAAGAAATAAGCTTTTTTTCTGACTAAAGCAGTGAAGGGGGGGAGGACACCTTCATTTCTAGAATATAGAGGAACGGCCCCCTCAACAGAAATAAAGAGAGCAGCTTATATCTCCCATATACTACTGTAAGCCTAATTTCAAGCTAAGAACATTCCCGTGGGTCTCCCGAGTTCCCCAATCAAAATTTGAGGCAAATCGGTCCAGGGGTTCCTGAGTTATGATCGGAAAAATAAACAGACAGACAGACAAACAGAGATTACAGCTATATATATATATAGATAACATATGTCTGTGATCCTCAATAATTTAAATAGTTTTTCAAAATGTTTAATTTTCCTTGTGATTTCCGCCAGCTGGGTCTGGTATGGCTTCCACAACATCATCTTAAAATTTTTTTAAATTTTTAATGGAACAAAACATGCTAAAGTATCTTTTCCATTGTTTAAATTGTTCTTTAAATAAATAATTGTTTACAATGAATCCAAATTGATTGATTGATTGATTTATCAATTGATTACCTTCGTCTTCGCTTAGTTCCTCCCCGTGCATTGTTCTGGCCAACATCTCAGCGGTTTCGCGCTCTAAACAAGAAAAGTTCAAAATGGCGCTGTATTTCCCTTTTCTCGTGTCATTTGCTTTTTGACAGAGGGTGTGTCAGCATTACAAATCAAATATGATATATAAGAATTTAAACTGAATGAGAAAATAAATATAATCAAAGGAATTCAAACATATTTCCCCCCATCTCTCATTGAACAAAAACAAACGTATTTCTCCCTGCTCCGCTGAATGTAGGAATGTATATTCCCCTGCATTTCTTCACCTTGTACAACTGGGGAAAAGATATAGGCATTGTTTTTTGTGGACAATTTTTTTCAAAAGAAAATATTTTTTTGGTGAACGAAAAATCAAGGAATAAATTGGATAGTTTCAAGAATTAATAAAACTATCGTTATATTTACGGAACGAACGTTTTCATTGACCGAATTATTTAAGCAATTTAAATGATTGATAATTCTGAAAACAAATAAATTTAATTTTTTGAACGGCTGAAAAAAAATTAAAATGGGTCATGAATGATCGAGATGAACAAAAGAATTAAAAATACCCCGGAACTTGTCCATCTCTACTGGGGAATGTACAATGTTACATATACAATATACAATATATTCTTGTGGCTAATTAGATGAGGGATCAGGACTAATTACCAAGATATACATGATTCATGGCACAAAAAACAAGATTTAGTTAGGACACTTATCAAGATTTAGTTAGGACACTTATCAAGATTTAGTTAGGACACTTATCAAGATTTAGTTAGGACACTTATCAAGCACGCATAAATGCTGGGACTGTCAACATAATTTGGTGTAACCCTTCGTTTGCACAATCATTACCCCCTAAACCTTTGCTGTACAAATGCTGAAATATTCTTGTTTAAAGGGTCGCTTAACATTACATTAACTATTCACCGTAACATTTGCAAGGTTCGACCATTAAATATTAGTTCTCATGGTTTTAACATTGATTACACGTCTTTCATTGGGTTTAACATTCACAATAAAGATTTGATTTGCTAAACCATTGAACACAAAGCTTACATTGGCATTTCCATTTAAAAACATTTCCATTGGCTAAGCCATTGAGATCAAAGCTCTCGTTGGTTCAAACATTGAAAGAACAGTTTCGATTTTTGGTTTTAATATTATTTCATCTTACCAATATTTCTGATGTCATCCATTGTTAGTCCAAACCATTCATCCTGCCATACCCAGGCCTGTAATATAATTTCATATAGCCAGATAAATAAAAGGACAGGATGAATATATGAATTAATAAATGTATTAATAAATGAATAAATGCACGAATAAATGAATTAATTATCGAAAAAAATTAATGAACTAGTGAAAAAATAACACTATAAAACGCTAAATAATTGTAAAATGAGTCTATGTACATTGTACAGCACCAATAAATGAATAAATAAATGAATAAATGAATAAATGAATAAATGAAAAAATGAATAAATGAATAAATTAATGAATGAATAAATGAATGAAAAAGGATATATAAATGAATGAAAAAGAATGAATAAATGAATGAAAAGGGTTAATAAATACCTGTCTGTGTGCTCTGAGCATTGTATTTCTAAGCGCCATGTCATGAATAAATCTTTCCAGTTTACTTTGCATACCCCAGTATCTTAAAAAGACATAACCATTTTAAACCATTTATAAGCAGATATAAGCAGATATAAGCAGATATAAGCACTAAGAAGATATAACCAGTTTAACCAGATATAAGTAGATATAACCAGATATAAGCAGATATAAACAGATATAACCAGATATAACCAGATATAACCAGATATAACCAGATCAGATATAAGCAGATATAAGCAGATATAAGCACTAAGAAGATATAACCAGATATAACCAGATATAAGTAGATATAAGCAGATATAAGCAGATATAAACAGATATAACCAGATATAACCAGATATGACCAGATATAAGAAGATATAAGCAGATATAACCAGATATAAGCAGATATAGCCAGATATAACCAGATATAAGCAGAGATGGGCATTGTTTTTTTTGACGAACACAATTTTGAGAACGAACGAAATTTTCGGAAAAAAGGGAACGATGGATGAACAAAATGAACGCATCGTTCAGAAAAATAAAAATAAACCATTTTTTTACCAAACTTTTGTAAAATGATAGTTTTCTTACTTAAAGAACATTTTTTTAGAACAAACTTTTGGCAAAACGATCGTTTTTTAACTGACCAAACGATTTTTTGAACAAACGGTTTTACTGGACTAACAATTTTTAAGTGAGGAAACGAACGAAATTGATGGAAAATGAACAATAAATTTGAGAACGAAGAAATCAAATTTTTTTGAACAATTGTAAATGAAAACGAACGAAATGGGTCGTTCATGAAAAAAGTCGAATGTGCCAAGCTCTAGATATAAGCAGCTAGAAGCAGCAAGCTGCTAGATATAAACAGCTTGAAGCAGCTAGCTGCTAGATATAAGCAGAATGGCATTTATGGCATCCAATAGATTCAGACACCTTTGATATGTTGCATCAATTAGCAACATCTTTACCTTTTATTTTGACTAAATCAATCCCTTTTACTTTTTTTGAAGCCCTAGACTATTAGAAGTATAAGGCACTTGTTTTAGCGTTAGCTTTCTCAGAGAGTGGATCCGTAAATAGATGGATAAATTAATAGATGGATATACGGTATTGGCAAAAAAGATGATTAGATAGAAAGATAGATGGTTAGATAGAAAGATATATAAATAGATAGAAAGATGGATAGATAAAAAAGATAGATTGATAGAGTACCTGAATTCCACTTTACAGAGCTTGTACGCGCACATAATGGCTTTCCCATTAGGCGTAGGCATCTCTTTTCCCTAGATTTGGAAAAGGATCAAAAAGCGGTGAAAAGATAAAAAAGATTCTAAAAAAAACATAAAAAGAAGTTTGAAATCATGCGTGCTAGGTTCAATGTGTCACAATCACTACTCAAATTTTAGGTTTTTGAAATTTATCAAATTGTACAAAAAATCTGTTATTTCAACATTTTTACTTGACCAAATATTAGTTAATATCCATTAATAACTGAATCTAACGTGTACATCCAAGAAAAATAAATGCAAAAGAAAAAATTGGCTTAGTTTGTAGGTTATATAGTTTTATGCACATAGAGAAATATTTGCATAAAGCACATTTCAGCTTCTCCCATGGTAAGCTTTAGTGCTAGCACTTTCAAAATGTTTGTAAATGATCTTGAAGTCATGATTATTAAGTTCAACATTTTGACCAGCATATATCTTTATGGGTTTTAAATGAGAAGCAAAGAAAAAAATTATTTTTCCTATTTTTAGCCCGAAGAAGCCATCATTTTCACAATTATGGGATGATTTTGTAAAAAAGAGGAGGAATTCAGTAGACACATTTATAAATATATAAATTACCAAATCTGTTTTTCATGGTTGTGAGAGAATTCATATATGTTTTAGAAAGCTCTCTCTAAATCAGACCATGGGGAGACTGAAATGTATCCAAGCGTTATGTCGTCTTCCTACCCTTCACCTTTGTATAGGGTCAGATATAAATCAGAGAATGTATTCCGGCAAAGCTCTGTCTCAGCCAGATATAAACATACCGTTCATGTTGAATAGTAAAGTGTTTAACTTGTAAATACTTAAAAGATACAATCCGTTAATAATTCTGCAATCTTTAGCAATTTTCACTAAAACAACCGGGATTTTTATTTCAGAAGTAACAACTAAATCTTATTTTCCTTAGAGTTTCCAAAATCCGGTTTGATATTCTATTTGGCGGATTATCCTGGAAGAAATTGGCGCATTCCGGGTTTTTATGAAAGCAAGACTTAATATCGAGCCTTAAAACCAACCAAGGTCGGTTTTATTTTCGAGCCTAAGATCTTGTAGCTGTCAATCACGTGACACAAGCTGTCGTCAGAGTTGAGTCTAAGATTGGGTCTTGAAGCTGGGTTTAAGAAATTACGACTCGAGCAGAAGCTTTTAAATCAATCAAGGGCTCTGATCACCTAGACTATAGTAAGATACTAGTCCCAATTAATAACATGAGAAAATATTTTATAATTAGTATTTATCATTGCTAAAACTGATTTTTATAGGTTTGAAATAAATTCTTATTTCCAACTAAGTGATTCTGGTTAAACATCAAACTTTAACAAGATGTAAGATTTAGTTCTCAATGGGAATTAACTAATAATTGGTCAAGTAACGATAAGCAATGATAATAATAATAATAATAATAATAATAATAATAATAATAATAATAATAAAAATAATAATAATCATTACCTGGTCTTTTACAACATCAATGTGATCAACTACTCGATTTCTGAGTTCGCTGCTCTATAAATAGAATAAATTAGAACAAAATATACAAGATTTTTTTCGCCATTCTTATTTTATCCACAGATTTTGGCACAGAGGGCGACCCGGACACTCATTTTTTCCTATTGTCTGCGATGAATATTCCGCTATAAGGATTTTTCTAGCCACATGATCCAGTCATAACGCCTCAGGACAGTGATATTGTCCTGATTCCGGCCGAATTATGTTTAAATAGTTATTATTTGGATTCTACTTTGTTAACCCATTATAGCCCATTGATATTATGAACATTATTATCATAATCATAAAACTATAACGGTCGATCTAATTTACTTAAAGACTTTAGATAAAACTGTCAGAATCATCCATCCGGAAGTAAACACTATGCTGTGTGGCTCAAAGTTGAGACAAACGTACGAAAATTGTAGATTATAAAGTCAGATCTTGTCTGAGTAAAGAGTACAGAATAAAAAAATATACCAATGGATAAAATATATAAATATATGTTTGGGTGATGGCAAGGTTGTAATGCAAGGAAAGTTAATTGCTGTCGCGTATACTCTGCGTACATATTGAAACCAGTTCTCTCTGGGCGGAATTTGTAAACAAGAATAGGTGCATCAGTGTTCGTTTAGTATTTGAGGAGGTTAAAAGCATTAATTTTTGATAATTTTGATAATTCACANAGATACAGATACAGATACAGATACAGATACAGATACAGATACAGATACAGATACAGATACAGATACAGATACAGATACAGATACAGATACAGATACAGATACAGATACAGATACAGATACAGATACAGATACAGATACAGATACAGATACAGATACAGATACAGATACAGATACAGATACAGATACAGATACAGATACAGATACAGATACAGATACAGATACAGATACAGATACAGATACAGATACAGATACAGATACAGATACAGATACAGATACAGATACAGATACAGATACAGATACAGATACAGATACAGATACAGATACAGATACAGATACAGATACAGATACAGATACAGATACAGATACAGATACAGATACAGATACAGATACAGATACAGATACAGATACAGATACAGATACAGATACAGATACAGATACAGATACAGATACAGATACAGATACAGATACAGATACAGATACAGATACAGATACAGATACAGATACAGATACAGATACAGATACAGATACAGATACAGATACAGATACAGATACAGATACAGATACAGATACAGATACAGATACAGATACAGATACAGATACAGATACAGATACAGATACAGATACAGATACAGATACAGATACAGATACAGATACAGATACAGATACAGATACAGATACAGATACAGATACAGATACAGATATAGATAAAGATACAGATAAAGATACAGAAACGGACACAGACATAAATGAAGATACAGATATAAATACAGATACACATAATACATATACATATACGGACATAGATATGAATATGAATACAGATATACAGATATAAATGCAAATAAATATACAGATACGGACACAGATACAGATGGAAATACAGATACAAATACAAATACAGATACATATACCGATATAGATATGAATACAGATACAAATACATCCTAAACTAAGCTAAGTACCCTGACCGAATGAGTAGTGGGTTTTAGTTTAGATTGGATACAATGATGAACGAGACACCTAGTGAGTAAATTCTGAACTAACCGAAAGGTTGAAAACGTTCTCCAGGCTGCCCCCGTCTGGAGTGTAGTAGGTCTCGATTTCAAGATTAAACTTCTCCACAAAAGGACAGGAAAACTAGAAATAATTAATATAGCACTTTTTTGAGCTTTATGCATATTTACGCATATTTACGCATTCTTATGCATATTTACGCACATTTACGCATTCTTATGCATATTTACGCATATTTACTCATTCTTATGCATTTTTTCGTAATCTTCATAATTTCAGAAAAACAAAGAGGTCTAATCCAACAAACAGGCAAACTAGGCAACCTTGTAAAAGGTTGCCTAGTTTGCAACATAAAAACAGTCAAACATTTACAAGATAAAAGAACTTGTTTTATTCTAGAATTTGAATCCTGGATAGTAGGACCTCCCTAAAATTCTGATTTGATTTGATCGGGAAAAGGAACTGAGTTTTTATTTCTTCAAACTCTGATTTTGCAATCCATATATCTTTGCAACCCAATGTTGTAGACGGTTGATATTTCAAATTATGAATTCATGTTAAAGATAAAAAAACTGAGTCTAAAATATCTAAGGTTTAGGTTTAGGTTTGCAACGATATAGGGATAAGAAAATTTGAGTTTGTAACAAAAACTCAGTTTCTTTGTTGACCATGGTGGGTTCAATTGATAGATAGATAAAAAGATGATATAATGGGATCAGAGACCAAAATTTATTAATAGGCATACTACTTATTTGCCGGTTCAATTGGTTCAGCTAAGTCTACGTGGTTCAACTGCTGGGGGGACATTTTCTTATTTTAAGCTAAAGAAGGTTTATCGCTAAAAATCACCTAAATTGGATAAAAACTATTTGATTTATCACAAAATATTCTTTTTTATTATTTTGCTACAAAGTAATGGAAAGCAGTTATAAACCTTTTACCCTATAGTTTCTATCAAGATTGATAGGAAACCATTGAAACATCTTTCTATCATGGAGAAATATATTTTTTAGATCTTTTTTATTATATTTTCATCATTATTACGTTAATTGTTAGCATTACTATCAGTATTATCATATATGTATGTATAATATATATTAAGCATATTAATCTCTGTTTGTCTGTTTGCTTGAATGTCCGATTATACCTCATTATTACTATTATTATTATTATTATTGTTTTTATT